TGTTTTCCCCTCTCCCCTACCCCTGGCAACCACCATTCTAGTTTCTGTCTCTACGAATTTGACTGCTTTCGGTAGCTCATATAAGAGGAATTATATGGTATTTATTCTTCTGTGACTGACTTATTTTCCTTAGCAAAATATTTTCAAGATTCATCCATTTTGTAGCATGTGTTTCAATTTCCTTCTTTTTCAAGGCTGAATAATACTTCATTTTATGTGTATACCACATTTTGTTTATTCATTCATCCGTCAATGAACACTTGGGTTGCTCCCAACTTTTGGCTTTTGTGAATAATGCTGCAGTGAACATGGATGTACAAATGTCCATTTGAATTCCTTTTTTCAGTTCTTTTGGGTATATACCCAGAAGTGGAGTTGTTGGAGTACATGATAATTCTATTTTTAATTTTTTGAGGAATTGCCATACTGTTTTCCACAGGAGCTATACCATTTTGCATTCCCACCAGGAGAGGAGGCCCAGTCCTGATAGCTGTCAAATCTGCTTCAACTTTTTCTTCTCAACAAAGAAGCATAATGCTAAGGTTTTTCATAGCTCTGTGGTCTTATGATGTTATAATTTGAATATAATAATAACCAGTAATTACTAAACCATATAATACTAATTATTTGAGTACAGTAGCAGTTCAGAAGGAAGATACCAGTGTGGTCTGAGACCACTGACAAAGGCTTCATGGAGGAGACAGGACTTACCCCGTCCCTGAGGAACTGATAGGACCTAAAGGATGGACAGAAAGTGGCACTCAGAGGAAGCAGCGTGTACACTAAGAGCATGTAATTGTGCAAGTGGCAGACAAAAAGATGAAAGTCCTCCCTGCCGTTCTAGTCTAAGAGGAACCAGAAGGGATAAGAATGGCTCATACTATAGATAGTCATGTAATCTGATGTTCTTTCAATCCTTGTTAGAACTAACTTTATACAAACATTTGAACCCCTAAGTGAAGTTCGCAACTCAGATAACCTAGTACAGTTGTGTATCACATAACAACAGGGATATGTTCTGAAGAATGAATTGTTGGGGATTTCGCTGTTGTGCAAACAGCGTAGAGTGAACTTACACAAATGTAGATGGTATAGCCTACTGCACACCTGGGCCACTACTAGTATATGCAGTCTGTTGTTTACCTAAATGTCATTATGTAGCACATGACCGTACTAGTAGTGTGGGTGTTCTGATTCTTTGCCAGTAGTAGATATAGCCATTCAGGAGTGCATTATTTGCTTCCATACCTTGAACATCTAGTGACCCTAGCTACACTTTCTCTCTCATGAAGTGAACGTTTGTAAGGTGTTTACTTTATTTCATATTGTTGATCCCACAATATGAACTCAGTTGGAACTCATAAGTTGGAAGAGGTAACCACTCCTCTGAAAATATATATATGATGGGCAAGTAGTTGATCATTGAGACAAGATAGATTTTTGTTTTACTTGTGAGAAGTAGGGCTTTGTGTGTATGCGTGTGTGTGTGCACATGCATGCGTGCTTGATGTTTTGGTCTCATGGTGATGGTGTGGTTCCTTTTGGAAGGGGGCAAAGGGGGGAAGGGACTGAAGCAAAAGAAACTAACAGGAAAGTATAATGGTGGATATAACTTTGGAAGTATCTTAAAAATAGTTTGCTGTTACTGTTTTAAATTATTAACTAACAAAGAACTGTAACTTTTCATTTTCAGACTGCCCTGGCACATTTAGAGTCTCTTGCAGTGGATGTTGAGGTGGCGAATCCACCAGCCAGTAAGGAAAGCATTGATGGTCTTCCAGAGACCCTTGTTCTTGAAGATCACACTGGTAAGGGCAAAGTTGATCTCAAATGTCAAATGACACGTTTCATATTTAAGTATATCATCAACGTACCGAGAAGGTGAAGTATTTGACTACTAGAAATTCATTAGATTTTCCACAGAAACCAGAGAGCTGATGAACTTTCACCTAGTAGAATTTTTTTTTTTTTTTTTTTTTTTTTTTGTGACCGGTAAGGGGATCGCAACCCTTGGTGTGGTGTCGCCCGCACCGTGCTCAGCCAGTGAGCGCACCGGCCATTCCTATATAGGATCCGAACCCGCGGCAGGAGCATCGCTGTGCTCCCAGCGCCGCACTCTCCCGAGTGCGCCACAGGGTCGGCCCCCTAGTAGAATATTTTTAATTTATCAAGTGATAGGCTGAAACAACAATCAGTTTCCCCAGTCAGCTTTTCTACAAAAAGCAGTGTCTGTTAAATTCCAAGTTGTGTATTAGACAGAAACATGCTTGTCAGGTAGTTGATTAAAAATCTGGTTCTTTAGAGAAGAGCAGGAGGTGAGGATTAAGCCTTGGGGTATGGCCCAGTTGAATGGCACCTTAATTCACAAATGGCAGCTGCTAATTGTTTTTAGAAAGCTCATTCTCTAAGTTAAACATTCCCCTGTAGTCCCCAGATTTGCTTAGCAAACCCCCTTTTTTTTTTTTTTTTTTTCCTTTTTGTCTTTTTTCGTGTC